TAAAATCAGCAACTTTAAAAAGCGCAAACATTTATATTTAACAAGAGAATAAAGTTCAAAACAAACGATCGGAATGCACATTAAAATTTTTTGTTTGATTTATTTTTATCACAATAACAATTCGATTTAAGTACTACCTACTTATTTTCTTCTTGATCTAGTTTAACTAAATAGGTTAAAAATGTTTAACAGAACAAAATTAATGAATACAAATTTCCAAAATGTAGTACAAACAATTTAATAATAGCACAACTGAAATTAATAGCTAAAAGTATAAAAGCGTATTGATTACGATTGAAATTATGCTTTTTAAGAAGTAGAATTGTTATAAAGAAAATTAGAATGATAGGAGTAAAACTAAAGAGAGAGGGAGAAAGAGAGCGAGAGACAGAGAGAGAGAGAGTGAGAGAGAGAGAGAGAGAGAGAGAGAGTGACAGGGTGGAGGGAGGGAGTTAAAGAGTGAATGGTGGGAGAGGGGCGAGAGTGATAAGAAGAAAGAGAGAGAAAAAAAAAGAGAAATAGTGAAAGTCTGTGCGTGAGAGAGAAAGAGAGAAATAGGTAGATTGACAAAGGAAGAGTAGGATGAGAGGATTCAAGCAATTCAAGATAAGAAAAGTTAGTTATAAATATAGAAAGAAGAAGATTGAAGGAAGAGTTGAGAGATAAACTGGATTAGATAGTCCGCCTGAATTTTGTTGGGAACAGTGACAAGAAAAAAATTTTTTTGGAAGGGATTAATTGTAACGAAAATCAGGAGCAGTCCCCCTTTAATTAACAATGAACAAATAATCCATCTTTTCTTTGCCCTACATTGCTCATTACTCGATTTTATATGTCATATCTCAGTTTTTTTATATCTCCTCTTTCTTTTGTCTTCCTCTCTCACTCACCCTCTCTCTTCTCTCTCACTCACTCTCTCTCTTCTCTCTCTCTCTTCTGTCTTTCTTTCTCTCTCTCACTCTCTCTCTCTCTCTCTCTTCTCGCTCTCTCTCTCTTCTCTCTCTCTCTCTCTCTTCTTACTCTCTCTCTTCTTACTCTCTCTCTTCTTACTCTCTCTCTTCTGACTCTCTCTGTCTCTTTTTTAACCAGTTTCATTGTAGTAATCGTGAAAGTTTTTGAAAATGTGGATCAACTGGATGTTGCTATTTAAATACAACTGAAACAATAACTCCCTTCTAAAGAAAAGCTAAAATGAAACTACACTAAAAAATATTAAACTCGTATCTTTTGTCTTTTTGATATAATCATTTTTCAAGAGAAATTCAGCCGAGTCATGTAAAACAAGATATCCCTTATATAGACTGAGATAGATAAATAAATATAAAAAGAAAAATAGAGGGGTAGAGACATTAAAACATTAAAAATTATAATAAATTCAGGGAATGTTCAAAATTTAAAATAAATGACAACAGATGGATCTGAAGGAAAAAATGATATAAACACCACCAAAAGTTATATAAACTTAAATAATTCTTTATTTAACCTGTTTTATGAAAATTAACACAAATAAATAAAACTGAACTTCACCCAAATAGATTTAAATGGAAGAAAAACTAAACTTTCAAGAAATTATCTCTTATAAAAATCAATACTCAGTGCTATATGGGTATTCGAAATCTAATATCTAATAACCATTTCCATTATTATTATTATTATTATTATTATTATTAAATCAGATATGGCTTTCAAGGACTAAGTGAAGTAAAAATGGGATTGAAACATTAATTTTTAACTGAAAATTTTTTTTTTATCATCATCAACCGCTTTTGGCATTTTCATTTCCTTTTTTTGTCTGTTCCTTTTGCCATAAGGGTCTGTCATGCTGTCCTTTTGCCAATGCATGTTCATTACTGAAGTGATCACATCATTTCTGTAATAGGAAATTTATACCTTCCCTCATCCACGTCCAAGGGTGTAATTGGAAGGTGGGTTAATTAAGTCTTACAACGTTGCTTATCATTACGGCTTCCTTTAACAATTGACGATAATTAATCTAATAAAATAAATTTATTGGGCTGGAGGGTAAAATTGATAACTTTACACGTATCCTATATTTTCTGGTCAAATATGCTTTTCAAATTTATGACTTAAGTGTTTTTTTTTTCTCAGGTATATATCGTTGGCCATATGGCTCCCGGAGCTGACGAGCGGCAGCCCGAAGCCCTGCCGCATTTTCAAGAAAACTACAGCAGGAGATTTCTCAGGCTGATCAGAAAATATTCGGACATCATCGTCGGCCAATTTTTCGGCCATCTGCACTCCGACACGTTCCGGGTAGTCTACAATGAAATGGGTTAGTCTATTTTATATCCAGCTGATAAAAAGTCTGTAAAAGTTAGGGAAAGAACTTTTTTAACATCGATGTTTATTAATGGACAATCATGGAAATGATAATAATAGAGTAGTGTAATCAGAAGTTTTCCTTATAAGCACAGATTTTTCATACTTGAAATTGTTCCTTTAAAAACTTAATTTTCAGTTTGTTTAATAATTTTGCACTGCGTAAGTCACAATAATTGATCTATTTGATCTCTAGTCTGAATGTAGAGGTTTTTTACAATATTGTATTTGTGGAAAATTACAAAAAATAGGATATAAGCAAAATGAAATTAGATACATATTGAGTTGAGTAGCTTTAGAAAATTCACAGGAGTCAATAATATGAACAAATTTATTTAGAAATCGTGAGATGCGGTCTGGTGTGATTTAGGTTTCAGAAAAACATTTTCTTTATCGTGCCAACGTTTCGATCTTTATTGAGATCATCTTCAGGGCTCAAAGTGTTTGTCTTCTGTGTAATTGTTTCATTCTTTCGGGTCTTGTCGAGTGCCCACGAGAATGACACAATTACACAGAAGACAAACACTTTGGGCCCTAAAGATGATCTCAATAAAGATCGAAACGTTGGCACGATAAAGAAAATGTTTTTCTGAAACCTACATCACACCAGACCGCATCTCACTATTTCTAAATAAATATCGATTAACGGTCATTAATCACCACAGATATGAACAAATATAAAAACAACATCAAAATAATAAAATATAACAGTAATTTGGCATAATAAATAGGATAATCAATTTAAATTTAATAAAATTAAATTACAAAAAAAATAAATGAATAAAAAAATTAGATAAATACATTAATAAATTAGAAGATTAATAATCAAACAAATATGCAACGTATGTACATTTATATATCTACAGGGTGTCCCAGTTCCTTCTGAAGAAACTCAGCGAATCGATTGTACTCTTCGTTTGGAGCAAAAAATGTTCAGGAAAAATTTTTCGGAAAGTTCTCTATTTTGAAGATATTCGTCAATTTAGGTTTTTTCAACTTTTCACTATCTTACCACATAAAAGCGCTTACAACTTCCAAAATGTTGAGACTACAACAAACCCAATTACACCATTTGAAAGAACGCTCAATTTACTGTAAGATACTTTTTTGAAATAATCTGAATGACATACAATGTTAGCCAATTGGAACATGTCAAAATTACAAAATTTAAAATTTTGGTCATGATTGCACGTTCTACTGAGTTTACAAAAAAATAACTACAATTTGTCAAATTTCACAAAAACTTCTTCATCTAATATGCTTTACGTTGATATCCAGGTTTTAAAATAACGTTCTAGTAGAGTTGAAAAACCAACATTTTATGTCATTCAGAGTATTGCAAATAGAAGTATCATACAGCAAATTTAGCGTTCTTTCAAATAGTGTAATTGGATTTGTTGTAGTCTCAACATTTTGGAAGTTGCAAGCGTTTTTATGTGGGAAGGCAGTGAAAAGTTGAAAAAACATAAATTTACGAACATCTTCAAGATTCTCAATTTTCTCCTGAGCATTTTTTACTCCAAACGAAGAGTAGAATCGATTCCCTGAGTTTCTTCAGAAAGAAGGTCAATAAAATATTTTCTTAAAAAAATCACATACGCGGTGCAACATTATGAAATAATTCACTAATTTTCGTGATCCGCTTAATATCTTTCAACTAATTAAGGTTTTTTAGTTGAGATAAAAAAGTCAGTGTCACGAGCGGGATTCGAACCCACGACCTTCGGCTAAATACACCGCTGCTGTACCACTTGAGCTATCGTGACTTCAATCCACTCGGACACTAACTTCCCATCTCAACCTCACCTTTTGAATTTTCCCTCCTTTTTGCCATTTTTCAAATGTTGTGTAATCTATTTGATTCTCGGGGACAAATGAAATAGCCACGGAGAGCTTTAGCGAAGATATACTTAATTTAACTTATAAAAATTCAGTGTCAATTTTCCCTCCATTTTGCCATTTTTCAAAATTCAAAAGGTGCGGTTGAGATGGGAAGTTAGTGTCCAAGTGGATCAAAGTCACTTTAGCTCAAGTGGTAGAGCAGCGGTGTATTTAGCCGAAGGTCGTGGGTGCAAATCCCGCTCGTGACACTGCCTTTTTTCTCAACTAAAAAACCTTAATTAATTGAAAGATATTAAGCGGACCACGAAAATTAGTGAATTATTTCATAATGTTGCACCGCGTATGTGCTTTTTTTAAGGAAATATTTTATTGACGAAAAACGATTTTCGAGTGGCGTGGAGTATCAACCACTTTTTCATTTACAAACTCTTCAGATCAAGTTATGGTCTTGAACAATAAGCAAATTCATTTATTACTGTCAAGCTTTCGAACTTTTTTAAGATCATCAGCAGAGCAAAACGATTTTAAATAGGTCTACCAATTGACATATTTAAGTTTTTTACAGGCGATTTCCAATTTCCTTGAGGACCGACTAAATCATTTAGAAATATACGCCGACAGCTTGGTCGACGTATAGTTGCCTACGTATATAGAACTAAATTTGCCTATTTTTTCAAGTCCAAACCTTGATCCGTATTTTTCGTGCGCCAAGAATATAACCAGGTTGACACTAGATTGATGTGTAGATAATCTTCAACTTTTTTTGCAGATATTTATATTATAAAGTATAAGTAATATAGATTTTTGTTTTTTTAAGTACTCGGCCTGTCCAATTAAACATTATTTGTTTCATAACACGAGTAACACCAGTAACGATAATAAAACTTTTACCTTCTGAGCCTACCTATATTTAAACCCAACAACCCTTGAACTGTAATAAAAGTCATGGAATAGTAAATGTAATAGCAATATACAAGTTTTTTTACATTTTAATAACAAAGCATAATTGTGATAATTTAGAAATCGAGTAAAAACTTTCTTTAATTTTAAGGATGTCATGAACTGGTTTGCTGTTAAACTCCTTAATTATTTTCGTGCCTTCTCTTTCTTCTTGTTTCACATCACGACAATTCACAGTTTGAATAATTTCAATAATGCCGGCCAGTTCCAGTGCACGTAACTTGAACATAAAACCAAGAAAAGCCCTATGTCAAAGCAGTTTTTTGAAAGATCAAAGGGATCGAAAGAAGTCACACAAAGGACACGATTTTGACGGCCTTTAAAAGGAAATGTCTGAAAGGATCCACTTTTCTGTCCAATGTCTGATATCCAACCGTGAAAAGAGAAAAGATCGACGTGGGTCAAAGACCAAACGGCCCATTATCATTTCTTCCTCTTATTGTTTTGCTAGTAACAGTGCCAAGGTGAAACTCAAGAACTGGTCCATCATTACTTTCATCTTCAGGTTCTCCTTACCTTACCGAAAATCGAGACTTTTTTATGAAAAAATACTTCTTTTACTTTAACAAAATCCGTATGACCTTAAAGAAGTAAGGTTTCCATTTCATTTCTTTTCTACTCCCCCAGAGATTACAATTATTCCACCTTCAATATAACAATTTAAAAAAACGAGACAACGAATTGATTTCTGTTTGATAGATTTTACTTCTTTTGAAATAAAATGAAAGTATATAAGGGAGCAAAAAACAATAACAGATCTTTTAACTAGATACAGGTAAATAACATATTTTAGTGCACACAATTAAAAAAATCGAGTATTTTACAAAAAATCATCACAGCTTTATATGTTGTATTTATAAAAAAACTTTACTAGTGAAACAATAAAGAGTGAAATTATGTTCTCACATATAATGTTATTGCCTACAATAAAGCATAAATAATTGCTTCTGCATTTCTCAGAATTAAAGCATTTGTTAAATCAATACGTCATTAACAAGCGTTATCGTTTTTATGACTTTGTTGTAACTTTTTACTTGATATCGCACACAAAACACGTTTGGTTGGAGGTTCACATTAATCAATTTTACAATTAATTAAGGTTTTTAGTTGAGATAAAAAAGTCAATGGCACGAGCGGGATTCGAACCCATGATCTTCGGGTTGATACTCCGCTGCTCTACCACTTGAACTATCGTGACCATGGGGACCGCGGTAGCCGAGTGGTTAGCATGAGAGACTCTCACGCCGCGGTCGTGGGTTCGATTCCCACCGTCGCCTCTGGCCCTTTTTTCCCGATAACCCCCAATTTGAACACACAAGAATTCGTACTATGGCTAATATGCAAGATCATAAGGCCAATAAAAAAATTTAAAAAAAAATAAAAAAACTATCGTGACCTCGATCCACTCGGACACTAACTTCCCATCTCAACCCCACCTTTTGATTTTCCCTCCTTTTTGCGATTTTTCAAAATTCAAATTCATTCGAGTGGATCGAGGTCACGATAGCTCAATTGGTAGAGCAGCGCCGTATCTAGCCGAAGATCGTGGGTTCGAATCCCACTCGTGCCATTGACTTTTTTATCTCAACTAAAAACTTTAATTATTTGTAATATATTAATTGGTCAAGCGGACCACGAAATTGGTGAATTTAATCAATTTTGTTAACTTTATTATTTTTTTTCTTTTCAAAGCTATGTAATTAATACAATCATCTGGATCAAGAAGAATTTATTTTTCGTTTTGTACTGACTGACTGGCAACAAGGAGGGAAAATTCGAAAGGTGGGGTTGAGATGGAAAGTTAGTGTCCGAGTGGATAGAGATCACGATAGCTCAAGTGGTAGCAGCGGCTTATCTAACCGAAGATCGTGGGTTCGAACCCCGCTCGTGACATTGACTTTTTATCTCAACTAAAAACCTTAATTAATTGGAATTAATAATAGTGACTTAATCAATGGATTATTTTTTATTAATTTTGTTTTTACATTTAATTTCAGGTCGGCCTGTTAATTGGATGCTTCTAGCACCTGCGCTTTCTCCAAGAAGGATATCGAGTGGCCCTAACAATCCTGGAGTGCGCCTTTACAAATTTGAAACTAGCACTGGACAAGTATGTATATTGTTATAAAAAAATCCGTTTAGAATTTTTTGATCTGTTTATGATTGAAAATGCTTTTAGGTTTTGGACTTCACCCAGTACTACCTCGATCTCAATATGGCCAACCAGAAGGAAAGCTACGCAGAATGGCAACAAGAATACAACCTGACTTCTTATTACGGGCTAACGGAAGTCACGGCCAAATCCCTGCACGAACTCTCATCGACGTTCACCGAGCACAATTCCCCGCTTTTTGCCAGGTGAGGATTCGTAAGAAAAATGTGATAGAAAGGCCCGACGTTTGGTGAATGTTGTTCGGAAAAGAAACTTTTTTTATAGGAGGCTAATAGGGCCGTGAGAAGGGCGCGATGCGGAGTAATGACTGCGTGAGATAAAAGAATGGGCGAGCTTTCATCCATCACGATGAACAAATGAGTTGAGTTTTCGGTAGCGTTGTCCCGGATAAAACTCGCCAACTGTACTTGATTGTTCTGCGATTACCCTAATGATCTTTTACTGTATAAAAAATGGAATCTAATTTAAACCCAATTGTTTTCTAATCGAATCAACCCAACGACCGATGGGAACGCGGCCATTTGAACTTATTAAAACAAACGGCAATTTATTATCTCCTTCATTGAGCAAAATGAAGAAAAGCTTAAATGGATGGCGTTTATAAACGCCAATCGATCGGAACAATGACTGATAATTTCAGGAAAAATGGACAGCAACGTTATATATTCTTACAAAGTTTTTAAATATTAAAATATATTTAGTTATTTGTAGTTACAAACTACTTAGTAAAAAAATAATAATTCTCTTACGTTTAATAGAGATTAGCTTCTATCATTTAATTTTCTTTGTTCGTTTGATATGATAATAAGTATATATATGCATATGCAGATAGATAGGGATATAGATAGAAAGAGAAAGAGTGAGGGACAGAGAGAGAGAGAGAGAGACAGAGAGAGAGAGAGAGACAGAGAATGTGTATAAGCAAATGAAATATTTATTTGTTGATCACGAAAGTGCAGTCTCAAGAAACATGGTTGAATCTGAAGCTAAAAGTGACTGTGTAAGTCATTGAGAGAGAGAGACAAATAAAGAGAGAGAAAGAGAGAGTAGGTGAGAGAGAAAGATATAAAAAAACAGAGAGAGGGTGATGAGATGGGTTAATGGATAACTTTTTAAGGGGGAGGGTTGCGTGTGTGTGTGTGGGAACGAAAGATAAATAGATAGAGAGATAAATGGATTTATACGGGAAATACAGAGGGAGAGAGAGAGGGAGAGAGAGAGAGAGAGAGAGAGAGAGAGACAGACAGACAGACAGACAAAGAATATTATAAGCAAATGAAATATTTATTTGTTGATCAAGAAAGTGCAGTCTCAAGAAACATGGTTGAATCTGAAGCTAAAAGTGACTGAGGGAGAGGGAGCTAAAATTAATAAGCTAGTGAAATATAGATAAATAGAGAAAGAAAATGAGAGAGGAAGTGAGAGGGAAATATATAAAAGAGAGAGAGAGAGAGAGAGGGATGAGATGTGTTAATGGATAATTTTTTAGGGTGGAGGGTTAGGTCTGTGGGTGGAAAGGGAAGATAACATAGACAGACAGATAAATAGATTTAAAAGGAAAGAAGAAGAGAGAGAGAGAGAGAAAGAAAGAGAGGGAGATAAAATTAATAAGCTAGTGAACTATTTATTTGTTGATCTCGAAAGTGCAATCTCAAGAAATATGGTTGAATCTGACGTGAAAAATCACTAAGTAAGGGATTGAGAGAGATTGATAGAGAGAGAGAGAAACAGAGAGGAAGTGAGAGCGAGAGATATAAAAGAGAGATATAAAAGAGAGAGAGAGCGAGAGAGGGAGAGAGGGATGAGATTTATTAATGGATAATTTTTTAGGGGGAAGGTTGCGTCGGTGGGTGGGAAGGGATGATAAATCGATACATAGACAGACAGATAAATAGATTTAAATGGAAAGAAAGAGATAGAGAGAGAGAGAGACAGAGAAAGAGAGAGAGGGAGATAAAATTAATAAGCTAGTGAACTATTTATTTGTTGATCTCGAAAGTGCAATCTCAAGAACTATGGTTGAATCTGACGTGAAAAGTCACTGAGTAAGGGATTGAGAGAGATTGATAGATAGAGACAGAGAAAGAGAGAGGAAGTGAGAGGGAAAGGTTTAAAAAACAGAGAGAGAGTGATGAGATGTGTTAATGGATAATTTTTTAAGAGGGAGGGTTGCGTATGTGTGTTGGAACGAAAGATAAATAGATAGTTAGACAGACAGATAAATAAATTTGTAGGGAAATATGGAGGGAGAGAGAGAAAGAGAGAGAGACAGTGAGAGAGAGAAAAAATTAATAAGCTATTATACTATTTATTTGTTGATCACGAAATTGCAGTCTCAAGAAACATGGTTTAATCTGACCTGAAAAGCGACCGAGTAAGGGATTGAGAGAGATAGATAGATAGAGAGAGAGAATGAGAAAGAGATAGGAAGTGAGAGGAAAAGATATTAATCAACAGAAAGAGAGAGATGAGATGTGTTAGTGGATAACTTTTTAGGGTGGAGGTTTGGGTTTGGGGGTGGGAACAAAAGATAAATAGATACTCAGACAGACAGATAAATAGATTTAGAGAGAAAAAAGAGAGAGAAAAAAAAGAGCGGGAGGCAGGCAAAATTAATAAGCTCGTGAATTACTTATTTGTTCATCACGAAGTAAGGTCTCAAGAAACATGGTTGAATCTGACGTGAAAAGTGACTGAATAAGTGAATGAAGGAGAGAAAACGAGTGAGAGAGGATGTGAGAAGGAAAATATAGAAAAACAGAGAGAGAGGGAGATGTGTTAAACGTGTCAAAAAGTGTAGAAATGGTTGAAAAAAGGAGGATAGATAAATTTTTTAATAAATTGGACAAAAAATGATTTTTTATAACTAGATAAAATTGTGCCTTTATACAGACAGGGGAAAAATTAAATCAATCAAATATTCGAATTAATTGATTGATTGATATTGGATAACTTTTTAGGGGAGAGGGTTGCGTCTGTGGTTGGGAACGAAAGATAAATAGACAGTTGGACAGACAGATAAACAGATTTATAGGGAAACAGGGGGTGAGAGAGGGAGATCAAATTAATAAGCTAATGAACTTTTTATTTTTCCATCACGAAAAAATGGTATCAAGGTACGTGGTTACATCTAACGTGAAAAGTAAGTGGATGAGTTAGTGAGTGAGAAAGATAGATAGGTAGATAGATAGATAGATAGGTAGGTAGAGAGAGAGAGAGAGAGAGAGAGAGGAAATGAAAGATAGAGAGCGAGGGGGTGAGAGAGAGAAAGAGAGAGTGAGAGGAAAAACATAGAAAATCAGAGAGACAGCTAGATGTATTCAACGTGTTAAATTGGACAAATACCAAATTGTTTGACCAGCTAAAATTGTGTCTTTGTAGAGACAGGGGAAAACTTAGATCAATCAAATATTCGAATTAATTGATTGATTGAAGTTCGATAACCTTTTAGACGGGAGGGTTGCGTCTGTGGGTGAGAACGAAAGATAAGTAGATCCTTAGACAAACAGATAAACAGATTTATAGGGAAAGAGGGAGAGAAAAAGAGAGGGTGAGTGGGAGAGGGAGATAAAGTTGATAAGCTAATGAACTATTTATTTCTCCATAATGAAAGAATAGTTTCAAGGCACATGTTTATATCTAACGTGAAAAGTGAGTAAGTGAGTGAGTGAGTGAATGGGAAAGAGATAGAAAGATAGAAAGAGAGAAGGCGAGAGAGAGAAAGAGGGAGAGTTGAAGTGAGAGGGAAAAAATAGAAAAGTAGAGAACGAAAAAGAAAGAGAGAGAGATGTTCAAGTGTTGGACATGTTTGGAAAAATGAGAAAAAATGAACGTATTAATAAATTGGACAAATAAAATTTTTCACGACCAGGTAACATTGTGTCTTTCCAGAGAAAGGAGAAAACAGGGTTCGTATATAAGTGGGAACGAAAAATAAATAGATACTTGACAGAAAGATTAATAGATTTCTAGGGAAAGAAGACAAAGAGATAGAGAGTGAGAGAGAGAGAGTGAGATAGAGAGGTTGAGTGAGAAAGAGAAAGCGACTAATCGAAGCGAACAAACAATAAACACATTCAATTTAATATACTAAATTTTTCACTAGATCGATCCATCGAATATGTATTCACTCATTCAATTAAACAGTAAATCAAATATTTGTTTGTTAACATACTCTCTCATTAATGTAATTTATGAATTATTTACGTATTTAATTTCCTAAAGTAATCACTCTATCAATAATTTTCCCAGTGATTAATTTAATCTTTCAATAACTCAATCAACAGGTTAGGTAGGTTGACTATTTAATCATTGCTGTAACTACTCTTTATTCTCAGGGAATCAGAATTCTTTGTTAATCTATCCAGACAATCAACTAGTTACTTACTTATATATTTATTTAGTAAGGCAGTCTAAGTTATTCACATACTGTCTAATTCACATGTTCAATTATAAGGTTCATGATCATCCTGTAAATTATTTGTGACGTTAGTAAATAAAGCACACAAAACAAGACATCTTAAAACTGCGGAGTAGGAAAGCAATCGTACATTTGTCAATCACCATCATCAATGATCGAAAAATTTACGTTCATATTGATTCAATTATATTTTAGGTATCGACCTATCTACTCGTTCGCTGATTAATTTGCTCATTCAGTCAGTTGTGCGGTAAACAAACCATTTTCTCAGCTGCATAGCACTCAGGTTTATTTTATGAAACATTAAATCTAAATTTTTCCCATTGGATTTTAGGTCTAGGTATGTATGTATTTCTTAATAATCTTCTTGCTTTTATTTATTTTTTTTAACGATGGTTTGCAACATGAGGTTCCTGAGAACTCTCACACAGTATGAGAAGTAGAATTGCTAACCACACCCTAGATGAGCACCGCCTACTGTAAAACCTCCTATCGAGCTCAGCCTACACCTGCTATGCGGATTCGAGGGACGACATAGGCCTAGCCTAGGTGGTCGATCCTTCGCTTCCCCAAGGGTACCACGCCGGTCAACGCACAATAATGCAAAGCATACTCGATCCAGCGAAACCGATTCACTACCCGTTTCCATCCGCTTACTCGCGCATTCGAGAGACTATTCAGCATAATCATCGCGTCCTCAACGTCTATACGCTGTAGTCAGGTCAAACGTCCCCTGTGAGGCCGGGTGTAATAACGCTGGCCATA